TGATGCTGATGATGAGGATGATGATGATGGTGACTACCATTATTAGTATTAGTGATATTGTTACTATTAATATTACCGTTATGATAACGGTTACTATATGTTTATAAGGGCTATTCTGATGGTGATGATGATGAATATGATGATCATGATGATGACGGTGATGGCGATGATGATTGGGGCGAAGAGGAGGAGGAGGAGAAGGAGGATGAGGAGGAGGAGGAGGAGGAGGGAAGAGGAGGAGGGAGGAGGAGGAGGCCCCCCTGGGGACCCCCCGTCGTCGTCGTCGTCGTCGTCGTCGTCGTCGTCGTCGTCGTCGTCAGCGTCGTCGTCGTCGCCGTCGCCGTCGTAGTCGTCGTCGTCGTCGTCGTCGTCGTCGTCGTCGTCGTCGTCGTCGTCGTCGTCGTCGTCGTCGTCGTCGTCGTCGTCGTCGTCGTGTGGGTCCGACAGGAGTACGAGGATGAACTGGAGGCTATGTGAGATAACACACACACACACTATCAACGTTGCACTAGAGCTTTGCGGCCCAAGCTTTGCTTTGCATCCCAACTGTAAGTGAGCCAACCATGACGCCAATGCAGACCGCGAGTATTATGCCGCGGTACCCGTGGACTGGCATTCCGCTGTCCGACCCGAATAGCCCCTTCAATCTGGAAAGGGATGAGGCGAGGGCTAGGGGATGATGAACATGGAAACTCAGACGCGGACGGTGGATGATGCGATGTGAGCATGTGGAGGGAGATGGTGGGTGGGGTATTCGCAACAGGCGATGTCTTACTTGCTGGGCGTGCGCAACCTCGCGAACACATGCAAGCTGTACGCAAACAAGAATTTTGACGTCCATATCAAGAACAGCATTAAGCAGGCGAGGAAATCTAAGTCTGTTTTGCTGATGCCGTTTCGTATCAAGCCACTGTTGCAATGCTGTTAGCTGGCTACACATACACACGTACATTCAGGTGTGTGTGCTTTTATACACACAAGCGTTGCATATACACACCTATCTCCTCCACCCTCCCTCCCACCATCCCCCCCTCCCTCACACGCCAACCCTTATCCAATATCTATCTCCATCTCCCTCTCTCTCTCTCTCTCCCTCTCCCTCCCCCTCTATCTCGCTCTCTCACTCGACCCGCTAACCCAACGGGTGCGTTATCCATATATACATACATGTGTGTGCGCGTGTGTGCGAAACCCTCAACTGGAAACAATTCCCATGCACGATCCTTTGCACGTGAACTTGCGTGGGATCTCGCATGCCCCCGCCATCCCCTTCCACAAACCCAACTGCCTCCCCGGCCTTGGCGGCAAACGTCAAGGGGGGGGAGCGCCGCGGATAAGACGAGATGGGGGTTCGAATCAACACGGGCGTTGATTTCTTTGCCTGCGAAGGGGTGGATTGCAATGATGCCCCGCCCTGTGGAGATCCGGGAGACCCGCCATATCTATTCGCGTGACTGGCTCTGCTCGCTTGGCTACCATACCCACCGCCTCTATGAAATCACTGGAGGGCGAACATTCAAATCCTGGCTGCCCAAATCAGCATCGCGCCACGCGGCGACGACACCCGCGGAGTTCATTTGCGCTGATTTCGGTCATCAGGATTTGGAGTTTCACCCTCCTGGCATGGGCTGGCAAGGCCCTATCATGATGCATACGTTCCCATACGATCCGACTTGGCTCGAGGACATTGATTTCAGCATCAAGTTCAGCGCGATGCTGTTTTGAATTAGTCGTGCCCACTGCCGCGCATTCCGAGCATGTCCTCTCTCGGCGCCCACCCTCTCATCGCCCTCTCATCCTCTCGTCGCCCGCTCACCCTCTCATCGCCTCCATCATCTTTCATCGCCCTCTCATCCTCGCTTCGAATCATCTTTCTCTCCACCACCTCCTTACATTACCAACCTATTCTCACCTCATGCTGGCGCGGCTGGTCAAGCCACTGTTCCACGCTGTCATCGTCCGCGCTGATTGAGATAAGCATTCGGAGCATTGGCGCTGAGTCCGATGAATGGGATATCTACTGAGACGAATGTTCATGCGACGGCGACGACGACGACGACGAATACGACCTCGACGACGACGACCACGACGATGCCGCCGACGACGACGACGCCGATGACGACGGCGGCGGCGGCCTCCGCCGAGACCGTCGGAGCCCCTGGCGCATCCCTCAACGCACCCTGCTCGTGATGGTGGATGGCCCCGCGACCCTACTAGTCCTCTCTCCTCTCTCCTCCCTCCTCTGGCGTCTTCCCCCTCCTCCTCCTGCTCCTCCTCCTCCTCCTCCTCCTCCTCCTCCTCCTCCTCCCGTTCCTCCTCATCCTCCTTCCTCTCTACCGTTATTACATATGAATACTATTCTCCTCTCTCCCCTCGCCCCTCGCTTCTACGGACTCCCCCAGAAATCATCCCATCCAACTCTCGTCGTCGTCGTCGTCGTCGTCGTCGTCGTCGTCGTCGTCGTCGTCGTCGTTACTTAGGCTTACTTATCTGTATCGTCTACGGGGCGCCCTGGATCCGAGACGGCGGTCATCCGCCCCAAGAATCCCTTGATCGGCTGCTTCGAACACCGCACAGGACTCGGGACCCAGGGCTGTGACAAGGTCAAAACCCACGGTACAGCCGCATAATCCGTGCAAGCATGAGGATCCGAGTCCCTGCGAGCTTCAGCCGAGAGCATCCAAACGGAGGACCCCATCGAGTGCGAGCTCGAAACATGGAAGAGTTAACATCGTTCTTGATTCGATCGAAATGCCCGAAACGAGCGAATCAATCGGTCCGCCCGACCCCGATCCGCGCGACTCCGATCCGCCCGACCCCGATCCACTCGAAATGGGCGAAACCACTGCCAACAATGCTCCGAGCCCCCGACCGCCCGTCCCCGATCCGCACTGACCGAAACAAACGAAACCACCGACTGCCGATTCCGCCGACACCCGATCCACCCGACCGATCGCCCGATTCGATCGACCTCGCCATCCCGATCCGTGCGATCGTCTGCCCGCGTCGCCAGGTGTGGCGTTCCTGGGGCCACCCCGCCAGAACGAGGACTTGTTGGACCTGCGCGCCAGGTGCCTATGCGCCACGTGCTCAAAAAGTGTGCGTGTCTAGAATTATGTGCGTGCGCAGCGTGTGAGCGATGTGTAATATGCTCGTTTAGGCGTGATCTCTACGTTATGTGAATTTTCCATGGTACATCGATTTCTCATGATGTCATCACCAAACAAAAGTGATCCGATCAAACGTGTCATGTATGAACATGATCCGACCGAAGTTGCTCATGTGCACCAAATGGTCCGGAGCACTATAAGTGATCCGATGGACCTCTGGGGAGCCCAGAGCGGCCTCCGGCACCGTTTCCGGACGGATCCGCTGGATCCGCTGGATCCGCTGGATCCGGTGACGAATCCCAAACCGGCGCCCTCGCCTGAGACATCCTCACAAAACGGGCCCCGGGGGGGATGCCCAGAGGAGCCCAGAGCGGCCTCCGGCACCGTTTCCGGACGGATCCGCTGGATCCGCTGGATCCGGTGACGAATCCCAAACCGGCGCCCTCGCCTGAGACATCCTCACAAAACGGGCCCCGGGGGGGATGCCCAGAGGAGCCCAGAGCGGCCTCCGGCACCGTTTCCGGACGGATCCGCTGGATCCGCTGGATCCGGTGACGAATCCCAAACCGGCGCCCTCGCCTGAGACATCCTCACAAAACGGGCCCCGGGGGGGATGCCCAGAGGAGCCCAGAGCGGCCTCCGGCACCGTTTCCGGACGGATCCGCTGGATCCGCTGGATCCGCTGGATCCGGTGACGAATCCCAAACCGGCGCCCTCGCCTGAGACATCCTCACAAAACGGGCCCCGGGGGGGATGCCCAGAGGAGCCCAGAGCGGCCTCCGGCACCGTTTCCGGACGGATCCGGATCCGCTGGATCCGCTGGATCCGGTGACGAATCCCAAACCGGCGCCCTCGCCTGAGACATCCTCACAAAACGGGCCCCGGGGGGGATGCCCAGAGGAGCCCAGAGCGGCCTCCGGCACCGTTTCCGGACGGATCCGCTGGATCCGCTGGATCCGGTGACGAATCCCAAACCGGCGCCCTCGCCTGAGACATCCTCACAAAACGGGCCCCGGGGGGGATGCCCAGAGGAGCCCAGAGCGGCCTCCGGCACCGTTTCCGGACGGATCCGCTGGATCCGCTGGATCCGCTGGATCCGGTGACGAATCCCAAACCGGCGCCCTCGCCTGAGACATCCTCACAAAACGGGCCCCGGGGGGGATGCCCAGAGGAGCCCAGAGCGGCCTCCGGCACCGTTTCCGGACGGATCCGCTGGATCCGCTGGATCCGGTGACGAATCCCAAACCGGCGCCCTCGCCTGAGACATCCTCACAAAACGGGCCCCGGGGGGGATGCCCAGAGGAGCCCAGAGCGGCCTCCGGCACCGTTTCCGGACGGACGACCTGACTGCATAACACGCCTGGATATGCCGACGGGGGCGAAGGAGGAGGAGGAGGAGGAGGAGGAGGAGGAGGAGGAGGAGGAGGAGGAGGAGGAGGAGGAGGAGGAGGAGGAGGAGGAGGGGGAGGGGGCAGGCGAGGGAGCCCCGGCCCTGGGGGAGGGGCCCTGAGGGAGCCCTGATGGGCTTCCGGCACCATGGAGAGGTCCTGTGGGGCGGCCGCCCCTTCTTCTCTCGGTCGTTTCCCTCTCGCCCAGAAGCGCGCGCCCCTTCTTCTATATATACAGAAACTCCCGATCAACCGCAGAGCGGCGGATGTTAAGGATGAGCGACTCTTTCAAGGTTGCCCTTCCATCCCTGCCCATTCGGTCCAGCTCATTCATAGAGAATTTTGCTGGCCAACCTCGTTCGAAAAAACGTTCACATGGGCCTCCAAGGCCCTTGCAGCCTTGCCGCGCATCCTTATGATACGGGTCGATTGTACCACCTCGCCGATCTTGGCTAGGCCGGACCAGGATCTGTGAGGTTGTCAGTTGACGCCGTCCGACGAGGGAAGCAACGACGTCTGCATGGTACACGAGCAGGCGGGCGCTGGGCGCAAAGAAGTGAAGCTGTCGCGCACGGAGGCCTCCAGGGTGCTCGGCGCGTCTGATGATTCGGTTCCAGGCTCGAGCAACAAGGTCGCCGCGGCGTTCCACGCGGCAGTGCGCAAAGGCAACCTGGCGCCCATCGCAGAGGGCACCTACTTGCGCAGCATCTTTCGTCATGAGGCAAGCGGCATCACAGCGATTCTCGACGAGGACGTGCGCATGTCCCGCATCGAACGCTGGGATGGACCCACCTCTGGCGCGGCAGATTTCTTCCCGTACAGCCTGCTCTCCATCCACACCGATCCGGGCAAGAGCTCAAAGGAGGCGCCGAAGTGGCTGAGCGTGATCTACGACTGCGCCAACTTGTTCCAGGTCTCGGGCTTCTCGAAGGCGGCGCACATGGTCGGCAACTTCCGCGCCCAGGATTGGCAGCGCGCGCGGTGTACAAAATCCGGGAGCATCCAGGGCCCGAGTCTCCCAGCTCCGCAGCCAGGGCTGGCGGCGGACCCCGACAATGGTCGAGAGGAAGGCACCTTTTGCTCTCCCAGCTTACACGCCAGAAGCCACAAAGTCTCAAACCGGCTCTAGCCGAGCCGGCAGCATTAAATAGGCGAGAGGGGTAGAAGGAGAAAGAACAAGGGGGGAAAGAGGGAATAATAACATGTAATGGGGGAGCAGGGGAGAGCTCCAATGAGAGCCGCATTCTTGCGACACGGATTCTTCATCTTTGTGGGTTCGTTTTCTACTTCAGAAGAAATAAACAGAAATCTTCGCGGTCGCGACCGGCGAGTGTGAAATCTGAAATTGCCTCGGGGAGTCCACACAGCCAACATTGTCCGGACTTTCGTCCCGAAATCTATAGGGGCAAGCTCTGTGTCTGAAATCTTTCTCACAGCAAGGTCTGTCTCTGAAGACCTTCTCGCAGCAAACTCTGTCTCTGAAGACCTTCTCGCAGCAAGCTCTGTCTCTGGGCCCGGCCGCCAACGCGGATGTTCGTACTCCGAGGGAAGGGAAGAGGAAGATGATTCAATTGAAACGCGAGCGTACGAGCATGCATAAGCCCCGGCACAGCGTGTGATGAGGAGGAGGAGGAGGAGGAGGAGGAGGAGGAGGAGGAGGAGGAGGAGGAGGAGGAGGAGGAGGAGGAGGAGGGGAGAGGAGGAGGAGGAGGAGGAGGAGGGAGGAGGAGGAGGAGAGGAGGAGGAGGAGGAGGAGGAGGGAGGAGGAGGAGGAGGAGGGAGGAGGAGGAGGAGGAGGAGGAGGAGGAGGAGGAGGAGGAGGAGGAGGAGGAGGAGGAGGAGGAGGAGGAGGAGGAGGAGGAGGAGGAGGAGGAGGAGGAGGAGGAGGAGGAGGAGGAGGAGGAGGAGGAGGAGGAGGAGGAGGAGGAGGAGGAGGAGAGAAGAGACGAGAAATCAAGCATTCATCATGACCGAGTGGTTCCAGGCGTAGACTTGCCATCCTTGCTCAGCTCACGCATCCGCGCTTCCCAGCGCTCACATGCCACACGCCTGGCTGTCTTCACCATCTCCGCTCGAAACTTAATACTCCAGGTCCCACGCTCAAGAGCTTCCCGCAGGTGGTCTGCGGGCATATCCTTCGTCAGCACATCGCTCAGCATGTTCGTTCCGTCCGTCCAGCGCACCATCGTCTGTGGTCGGTCTAAGATCTCCCTGATGCTCGCCAGCTGGACCTGGAGGACACAGCCAAAGGAGCTTTGGACTACAGTGGAAGGACATACCTTCGCAGGGTCTGGGAACGACAGGCGCTGCCATGGAGTAGCAATTCTCTTACACAAGCTACACAAGCGCTGGAGCCGTCATTTATCTGAGTTCCAGGCAATCAGCGCAAGACTGGCCACAATGACTGTTAAAAGAGGGCGCATCCGATTACAGTTAGTTTCGGCATACTTTCTACACTGGGTATACAGACGCACACGTACAAAACATGTATGACGGGATTGGTGTTATGCTCAAGGAGGCCTGCGCTCGCAACGTACAGACGATTCTCACAGCAGACTTCAATGCCCAGGTTGGTGCACAGCCACGCCCAGACGCAGCACCGACGGGTGCTACAACGACCATAAACGACATTTCTTCCCGTTTTGTGGGACCCCACGGGTACGGCGACGAGAACTCCAGAGGGCAGTGGTTGCGACATTGGGCCACGACCGAGAGGCTCGCCATCGTGAACACGTTCTTCCGCAAACCCCCAGATTATTTACACCACAACCGCGGGCAACCCGCGACAATACGATTACATACTGGTAGATCGAAGCCTACTTCCTGTATGCACTAACGCCGAGGCGACGAACATCGCAGATCTCAACTCGGACCACAAAGCTGTCGTACTTCACATTCGCTTCCCGTTCCTACAGAACGGTACAACTACACGCCATCTAGGACATCCCGCGTCACGGGCCGACAATTGCAGCGGTCATGGGGCACGCGTAGACTTCGACGAATACCGACGACACTTGGGTCTCGAGTTACAGCCGGCAGCACTTCCGACAGACCCGCAGGAGCTGGCCCTCATCATCGAGAACAGCCTGTGCACCTCCATGACTCACGTAGCTGCCGCCGCGGCGGCGCCCTCACGAGCAACCGCGACCAAGGCCAACCACGACGCCAAGCACCAGCAACACGACGACATCATCGAATACCTGAGCAAGCAGCGACAGAACACGCCTTTTGCAAACAGCAATGCCCGACGAGCAATCAGCAAAAAAAAACCGGTGGTTCTTCCCGATCCGGTGGAACTCAGTCTCACAGTCCAACTTCCTCAGGTGAAGAAGATCCTTCGCGTAGTCCAGCATTGCGCCGGACTGCTCGAGGAACCCGCCTGGCAGGAGAGGAGGCAGGTCCTCCTCTGTGACCACGAACTCGATGGTCCCGCTCTTGCCGCAGCGTCGCCGAGCCACCGATAATTACCTCGAGGTGTCTGGACACTCTTTTCGATCCAGTTGATCTGCATGCCTCGTTGCCGCAGGTCCCCCTCGAGCTCCCTCAAGGCCCGGCGGCCGATGATCGCCTGGGAGGCGCCGCTGTCCACGATGATCAGGCCGCTCTCCAGGACCAGCATCGAGATCCCCGCCTGATCGGTCTCCTGGCCGGTGATCCCCTTGAGGCTCATCTGGGCCTCCCTGCCCAAGACCGTGATTCCGCTGATGTGGTATTGGGTCGGGCCCAACCCAGCTAAAAGTGGCGTTACCTTGGTGTTATAGGTATCATATAGGCGGCCACAGGATGGACACCAAATCGTCACCATATTGAGGGCCGTGGTGACATCGCCAGGCTTGTTCGAAGAGGCCCATATACAAATTGTGTTATATCAAATGGGAAAAAGGGAGGAGTGGGATGAGGGGAGAGCTTGGAGGGGGGAGTGAGAGATGGGGGATGGGGAAAGGACGACGAGGGCAGGCGGCAGGGGTGCACATACTGGGGCAGATGGCGTCGCATGAATATCGGAAGCCCCTTCGAGATGAAATGCCACTCACCGCGCCGTTGGGTCAAGTTCGGCACTGGATTCGCCGGTGTCGGTGCCTGTGGCGTTCCGCTGGTGTCAGGGGTGTCGGGCCGGCAAAAATATTTTTGCCAGCCCCAGCCGGCGGTTACCGCGGATGTTCGCCAACCCTGTAAAAAATGGGGCCGGCAAAAAATCGGCGGCCTTGTTTGGCACCACGCGGGGGAGGCCGGCAAAAATATGTTTGCCAGCCCCTTTCCGCTGGCACCACGCGGGGACGGAAACGATGGCGGCGCCCAGGCATCGTTCCTGTTCGGTTGCCCGGGGCTCCGCCGGAGGCCAACCGAGGCATCAGGAGTATCCCAGGGGGTGCAGAAGCATCGGGAATTCAAGGAGTGCAAGCTTAAGGCGATCCACAAGTAGAATTGCAAGCGCCAGCTCTCACACATACCCATGCACGTCCCACTTCTTCCCTCCATCATGGCCCGCGCCTTGGCATGACCATCTGAAGACCAACGCGCGCCTGGCAACTTATGTTTGGTCACCGCCCAGATCTTGCCAGGCATGCGGTGTCACTGCGCCGAACTGCTCGAGGAACCCGCCTGGCAGGAGAGGAGGCAGCTCCTCCTCTGTGACCGCGAACTCGATGGTCCCGCTCTTGCCGCAGCGTCGCCGAGCCACCGATAATTACCTCGAGGTGTCTGGACACTCTTCTCGATCCAGTTGATCTGCATGCCTCGTTGCCGCAGGTCTCCCTCGAGCTCCCTCAAGGCCCGGTGGCCGATGATCGCTTGGGAGGCGCCGCTGTCCACGATGATCAGGCCGCTCTCCAGGACCAGCATCGAGATCCCCGCCTGATCGGTCTCCTGGCCGGTGATCCCCTTGAGGCTCATCTGGGCCTCCCTGCCCAAGACCGTGATTCCGCTGATGTGGTATTGGGTCGGGCCCAACCCAGCTAAAAGTGGCGTTACCTTGGTGTTATAGGTATCATATAGGCGGCCACAGGATGGGCACCAAATCGTCGCCATATTGAGGGCCGTGGTGACATCGCCACGCTTGTTCGAAGAGGCCCAGATACAAATTGTGTTATATCAAATTGGAAAAAGGGAGGAGTGGGATGAGGGGAGAGCTTGGAGGGGGGAGTGAGAGATGGGGGATGGGGAAAGGACGACGAGGGCAGGCGGCAGGGGTGCACATACTGGGGCAGATGGCGTCGCATGAATATCGGAAGCACCGTCGAGATGAAATGCCACTCACCGCGCCGTTGGGTCAAGTTCGGCACTGGATTCGCCGGTGTCGGTGCCTGTGGCGCTCCGCTGGTGCCAGGGGTGTCGGGCCGGCAAAAATATTTTTGCCGGCCCCAGCCGGCGGTCACCGCGGATTTTCGCCAACCTTGTAAAAAATGGGGCCGGCAAATAATCGGCGGCCTTGTTTGGCACCACGCGGGGGAGGCCGGCAAAAATATGTTTGCCAGCCCCTCCCCGCTGGCACCACGCGGGGACGGAAACGATGGCGGCGTCCAGGCATCGTTCCTGTTCGGTTGCCCGGGGTTCCGCGGGAGGCCCACCGAGGCATCAGGAGTATCCCAGGGGGTGCAGAAGCATCGGGAACTCAAGGAGTGCAAGCTTCAGGCGATCCACAATTAGAATTGCAAGCGCCAGCTCTCACACATACCCATGCACGTCCCACTTCTTCCCTCCATCATGGCCCGCGCCTTGGCATGACCATCTGAAGACCAACGCGCGCCTGGCAACTTATGTTTAGTTACCGCCCAGATCTTGCCAGGCATGCGGTGTCACTGCGCCGAACTGCTCGAGGAACCCGCCTGGCAGGAGAGGAGGCAGGTCCTCCTCTGTGACCACGAACTCGATGGTCCCGCTCTTGCCGCAGCGTCGCCGAGCCACCGATAATTACCTCGAGGTGTTTGGACACTCTTCTCGATCCACTTGATCTGCATGCCTCGT